GTGGGATTGACCGTCACATTATAACGCCCCCACGGCTGAAAGGGCGAGCATGTTTGGTGGTATGCGGATTCGAACCCGCGACCCTCAGATTGTGAGTTGAGCGCCTTATCCACCTGGCCATGCCGGGCCCAACCAAGTATATAATACTAAAATTATTCCGCAATAATACTGTGTTTCCTTACACATACAGGGATGCCATTTGTATACAAATAATCACAAATATCTATCTTTGTTTGGAAACATTAAAACAGTTTTAAGTTAAAACTAGGTATGATTTTATCACCTCCTATTCTCTTTAATCATTTATTATCAGCGTTGGTGAAAAACACGCCAACCTCAGAGAGATTTAAAGTACCATTTCCCATCAGCATCATGCTGACCTCTTTTTTTCCCAACTAAAGCTAAATAAAAAACAAGATAAAAAAATTACGATTCAGTAACTTTGCTTCTAAAACGCATAACCGATTTTTTTATTTGAGGGAATAAGGAGACAAAAACGTTTGTTTGTTTGAGGTTAAGCACATAGCTACATGATGGGCTATCTTTGCTCTGTCCACCACAGGTATCGAAACCCGGTTTCTAGCGTTGTAAGTCCGCAGACATACCGCCGTGTCACTAGGAGGCAGAGCAAAAATAGATTGTTTGAGGCAAAATAAATAAATAAACACACGTCAGTTGGAGTCACTATGTCGAGAATTTTAAAATCTTAAAAGCCTTAAACATCTCAGATGGGGGGTATATATGTAATATATCATATATATAAGTATACAACTTGAATTTACTATAAAATCAATCCTTTAAATGTTGTATGACCTGTCTAATATATAGAAACACAAGTGCATTAAGTTGTATTTTAGATATCCGAGTACTCCCACCAGTGGGTCAGAAGTAAGTTTCAGGGCTTATAACGCTACAATTCAAAGTTCGATTCCTGCAATGGGCCAAATAGCCAGTTATGCAGCTTTACGCTATTGGCAATAAATACATTTCACTTAATCTAGTTCACACCATAACAGTTGTTGCTCGTGTAATTTATGACACCAATATTGCCTAGACCACTAGTGTGCCACATTAGCCCTCGTATTGGACAAAAGGCCTCGTTTGCACTGAATATGGCAGATGTGGTGTGTTTGACACACCTTTCCATATTCTTCTTTGCCCCAACTCATAAGTTCAATAAACAAAACTTAACAAGAAACCTGAGCACAGAGTTAACAACAATCAAGAAACATGAACACAGAGTTAACGACAAACAAGAAACCTCAACATAAACTTAACAATAAACAAGAAACTTGAGCACAGAGTTAACAATAAACAAGAAACCTGAGCACAGAGTTAACGACAAACAAGGAACCTGAGCATAGAGTTAACAACAAACAAGGAACCTAAACATAGAGTTAACAATAAACAAGAAACCTGAGCACAAAGTTAACAAGAAACCTGAGCACAGAGTTAACGACCAACAAGGAACCTGAGCACAGAGTTAACAACAAACAAGGAGCACGAGCAGAGAGTTAACAAGAAAGAAGAAACTTGAGCACAGAGTTAACGACAAACAAGAAACCTGAGAACTTTCGTAAAACGAAAATTTTCTTCACTGTCACGGGTAAACACACTTACAAAGTAGCTTAAATACATCATGAGTGTTCTAAAACAGCCTAAAACTAATATATATACATAATTGTGTGTCAAGCGCAACTTTGCAACAGACGTGAGCCATAAACTCATTGATTCACATTCTGGCACGCTAACCACTAAGCTATGCCCGGCCCAGTTCTGAGCTAAATCAACCTGAATATCTTCGCTATAGGAAAAACATCAAATATCGTTAGAAACGAGTGGCGAGTGGATTAAATAGGATTGTTTATATACGTATGTG